AAAGCCAATCAGGATGTAGATTTCATGTTTGTGCTTCCATTTCGAGAGCTGAACTTGATTAAAGATCATCATTACAATCTTCACAGACTTCTGCTTGACTTTCATCCTGAACTCCAAGATCTGGACTCAAAGATTTATGAAGAATGTAAAGTTGTGTTCATCTTTGATGGTCTGGATGAAAGCAGAATTTCACTGATGTTTTCAGACTGTCAGAAAGTTTCTGATGTAACTGAGGTTTCATCAGTGAGTCTGTTGATGTCAAACCTCATGAAAGGAGATCTGCTTCCCTGCAGCACTGTATGTGTTTTACTGCCATTTACACAAGAACAGTGAGATTCTGAAAATGTTCCTGACAGGAAAGTCCAGAAATCAGTGTGAGAATGTTCCTCTGGATGTGTTTCTGAAGGAAGCAGTGAATAAAGCCTTGGAGAGTAAAAATGGACACCTGGATCTTTTCCTTCGATTTCTTCATGGCATCTCACTGGAGTCCAACCAGAAGCTCTTACAGGATGTACTGATACACACAGAGAACAACCCAGAGAGCATCAAGAAAATAATCCAAAACCTCAAACGAGGTCAAAAAAACGATGTCAGTCCAGAAAGATGGATGAATCTGACTCACTGCTTAATTGAGATGAAGGATAACTCTGTTGTTAAAGAAATGGAGGCGTTTTTAAAATCTGACACGAAAGAAAAAAAACTTTCTCTTACACAATGCTCAACTTTGGCAAATATGATCCTGATGTCAGAGGAGGTGCTGGATGAGTTAGACTTTAATAAGTACAACATCACATCATCAAAAGAGGGCAGATGGAGACTGGTACCTGCTGTGAGGAACTGCAGAAAAGCTCTGTAAGTGTGAAAATATGAAAATTATATTTGACAAAAAATTGTGATGGAGGATTGAATAGTTGGTAACACTTTAGTTTGGGGACAATTATCACTATTGTTGTGTATTAGCATACATATTACTAGCATATTGACTGTTTATTGGTACTTATACAGAACTTATTAATGCTTTATTTTGCATCACCATATTCTACATCCCTTAATCCTGCCCCATACACAGCAAAAACCCCATTGTCAAATTAACTCTCCTCAGAGTTTATTTGAATCCACACTCAAGAGTGTGAAAATTAACACTGGTGATGACCAACGAATTGGGATCTCGCCAGAGAGACCAATCCACTTCGAGTGTAACTAAACGAGCCAATGGACATTGGCATGCGGATTTCGCATCTTGCTGCCACACCCCGCAGCGTGGGTATAAGAGACAGCAGGTGCACCGCATTAATTTATCCTTTCGCTTCGGAGCCGAGCGGTAGTGCATCACTACTGCTCTCTACTTCGGGTTGCAGGGAGAAGCAAGCGAGTGCGGGCATTACGGCACAGCAGCAGTGGTCACGGTCTCATGGCGGAGAGAGAAAAAAAGATAATCCTCGTACAGACAGCCACACCAGGAGTGTGCAGTGGCCAGCTCCCCTGCGTGCTTCAGCACAAAAAGAGCAATCTCTAAAAGAGCAACCCGGGTGATCGCGTCTTTTTAAAGATGTCTTATCACCTGTGCGTTTCTGAATGCGGTCGCTATCTGGCGCCTCGGGACGGTCACAATCGCTGTCTCACGTTTCTGGGTGTTGAGCACGCTGAGCAGGCGTTCGTGGATGGTGCATGTTCTATTTGTGGGGACATGACCATCTCGGAGTTGCATGAAAGACTCTGTTACGTCAAACATGGCGGGGTCCCTCTGTCGCGATCTAGTGTTCGTCCATGGTAATCGGGGCGGCGCTGCCCGGTGGAGTCAGAGGTGATTTGAGGATCATGGTGACGGCTTCCCCAGAGGGAGTTCTTCCCCCCTCAAGCACTCCGCAGCCGGTGGAGCGGCCGGAGGGGCGCGTTGGTCCCTCTACAGCAGGGGTGGGCAAACTTGGCCCTTCCAGGCCACTTTCCTTCAGAGTTTAGCTCCAACCCTAATCAAACACACCTGAACCAGCTAATCATTGTCTTCAAGACTACTAGAAGGCTACAGGCAGGTGAGTTTTATCAGGGTTGGATCAAATCTCTGCAGGAAAGTGGCATGGAAGGGCCAAGTTTGCCCATCACTGCTCTACAGTATGGAGGGAGCCGGCCGTTTCCTTCAGTTTACCCCCTCGAGACCAGATGTCGATCGCTGCATCGGAGGGCGAGCTCTCTCTCTCCGGGGATGACGACCCGGCTGCGTTGCCCCCTTCGGGTGTGACAGCGTTGTCCGAGCCAGACCCAGAGATAATGGCTATGCTTTCCCAGGCCGCCGAGAATGTCGGGCTCGTGTGGAATCCTCCACCACGTCCCAATCCTTCGAGGCTGGATGAATGGTTTCTCGATGGGGGTCGCGCTGGTTCTCAGGGCCCCCCTCCGGTGCCATTCTTCCCGGAGGTGCATGAGGAGCTCACAAGATCATGGAAGGCACCTTTTACTGCCCGAAACAAGTCTTGTAGCTCCTCCGCTCTCACCACCCTCGATGGTGGGGCCACTTTGGGGTACGCGGGCATTCCCTCGATGGAGCGGTCTGTGGCCATGCAACTGAGTCCAACAGCCGCTACTACTCTGCGGGGTGACCCATGTCTCCCCTCACGGGCCTGTAAGTATTCGTCAGGCTTAACTGGCAGTGCTTACAGAGCTTGTGGGGAGGCGGCTTCTGCCCTCCACGCCATGGCGTTACTGCAGGTCCATCAGGCCAAAGCCCTGAGAGACCTGCACGAGGGTGGCCACGACCTGGCGGTTCTACATGAACTGCGTGCTGCGATGGACCTCGCGCTTCGAGCGACGAAGGTGACCGCACAGTCTCTGGGTCGTGCGATGTCCATGCTAGTGGTCCAGGAGCGCCATCTCTGGCTGTGTCTGGCCGACATGAAGGAGCATGATAAGGTGCAGTTCCTGAATGCTCCCGTGTCACAGACTGGCCTTTTCGGCGACGCTGTTGAGAGCTTTGCCCAGCAGTTCTTGGCGGCACAGAAGCAGACTGAGGCGTTCAAATACATCATGCGCCGGAGGAAACCTGCTGCCTCCACCCCGGCTGCAGCCCCTCAGCCTGCTCGTCGCCGTGGGCGCCCCCCTGCGGCTGCCCCCGCTCCCACGCAGCAGCAGCAGCCTTCCACCAGGCAGCGTCGGCAGCCCCTCAGCCTGCTTGTCGCCGTGGGCGCCCCCCTGCGGCTGCCCCCGCTCCCACGCAGCAGCAGCAGCCTTCCACCAGGCAGCGTCGTGGAGCCAGTCACAGGCAGGACGCCCAGCCCGTCCAGGTCCCCGCCAAACCCGGCGGGAAGCGCAAGTGCAAGAGGCCCTGAGACGGGTGACCCGGAGATGTAGGAGACTGCTCGTTGGGAGATGGTGACCGCACCACTCCCTCCCCCGGAGGAACCTAAACTTTGTTTTTGTTCCGCCGCTGGCCCAGCAGCCAGTGGTACCCAAAACTTAAGCAATAAAAGACCGGTTTCCTCAGTCTCTGGGTCTCAAGAGGAAGAGAGTTGTGAACTGTGCATCACAGTGTCACTTCCCTCCTCCTCTCTCGCCAGCGGGCAGCAGTGGGTTGCCCAAGAGCACCCCTCCTGCCCATTCGTGGAACCAGGTAAGGGCTGTAGCATTCGAGTCCCCATTTCATGTCGTCACAAGCCGGGCTGTCACAAACCTCAAGCCGGGACCTTGTGTTTTCTCCCGCACAGGGAGGAATCAGCTGAGTGTTACACCCGGATTTCACACCCAGACTCCGCCCTCTGCTGTCACAGGCAAGGCCGTCACAAGCCTCGGGCCGAGTCCCTGTGTTCCACCACGCTGCCCCACCGTAGGTACGTCCGTGGCTCCATTGGTTCCTCTGGCACGGTCTCTCGGAGCCTGGTTAGCGCTCCCCAGTCCGTCTCGGTGGCACCTGCGAACCATCAGACTCGGCTACGCAATTCAGTTCGCCCGGCGTCCCCCCAAGATCCGGTTCACTTCAGTCAAGGCTGTCGATGCCCCTGTCTTGCATGCGGAAATCGCAGTCCTGCTGGCGAAGGACGCGATAGAGCTGGTCCCTCCAGCCGATATGAGGTCGGGGTTTTACAGCCCTTACTTCATTGTGCCCAAGAAAAGCGGTGGGTTACGACCGATCTTGGATCTGCGAGTTTTGAACTGTGCGCTTCATAAGCTGCCGTTCAAGATGTTGACACAGAAACGCATTTTCAAGTGCATCCGTCCCCAAGATTGGTGTTCAGCGACCGACCTGAAGGACGCGTACTTTCATGTCTCGATCCTCCCGCGGCATAGGTCATTCCTGCGGTTCGCGTTCGAGGGTCGGGCATATCAGAACAAGGTCCTGCCCTTCGGGCTGTCCCTGTCGCCTCGCGTCTTCACCAAAGTCGTGGAGGCAGCCCTTGTTCCATTGAGAGAACGGGGGTGCGCATCCTCAACTATCTCGACGACTGGCTAATACTCGCACAGTCTCGTGATCAGCTGTGCGCACACTGTTGCTTTCAGTTAGAATTACAACTTGATTTTCTGTTATAAAGCAGCTCTCCAGTGTGGAGCTAGCTAATGATAAAATCTTTTTATTAGTGGGGAAAAAAAACATTTCATTAAAGTTATAGTTTGGTTTGCAGTAGGGGTGTGCGATATGACGATTTTTGATCGTGGACGATAAAAATGTCTCGACAATCTGCTTTTGAAGAAATGTCGTAGTATCGTGTTGCTTTCAGTTAGAATTACAACTTGATTTTCTTTTATAAAGCAGCTCTCCAGTGTGGAGCTAGGTAATGATAAAATATTTTTATCAGTGGGGAAAAAAACATTTCATTAAAGTTATATTTTGGTTTGCAGTAGGGGTGAGAGATATGACGATTTTGGATCGTGGACGATAAAAATGTCTCGACAATCTGCTTTTGAAGAAATGTCGTAGTATC